ATGGGGCTGAAACTCTGGGCCTGGGCACTGTCCCTCAGCTCTTCAGCTCAAGGCTAGAGCACTCTACCACTTGACCCACAGCGCCACTTCCGGCTTTTTTCTTTTTGTTAATGTAGTGCTGAGGAATCGAACCCAGGGCCTCATGCATGCAAGGCAAGCGCTCTACCACTAAGCCACCTTCCCAGCCTTGAGAAGTGGTTCTTTAGAGAACAATGTTTCAAACTTTCATATGTGAATGCCTGAATTGTTCTAGGTAACATAATATCCTCCAGTTCCATCCATGTGGTCACAAATGACAGCACATCATTCTTTTCTGGGGCTGAAATGTATTCAGATAGATAGATAGATATAGATGTAGATACATAAAATCACATTTTCTTCATCCATTAATAAGCATCTATTTATACTACATTGTAGATATTGTTAATATTGTTCTGGAGATCCTTAAGTAGCTATTTTATACTATACTAGTTTAATTGCCATGTCAGTTTTTGCTATATACAGGACTTAAAAAATTAAACTTACTGTGAGGGAGGGACATACAAAGCAACAAAGAAATAATCTTATAAATGTGTTAGAAACAATCGCATGAAAGAAAAAAAAAAAACATTTGAATACATATCTTAGGGTTCATTTCCCTAACATCACCTTATGTGACCTTTTCCGCTTGACTCAGACATATACTAGATATTGCAAATAAGGGAAACCATGGGACCTATGTTTCTTTGGGCCTGGCTTACTTCACTTAATATAATTTTTTCCAAGTCTTTCCATTTCCTAACAAATGGGGCAATGTCATTCTTTCTGATGGAGGCATAGAATTCCATTGTGTATATATACCACATTTTCTTGATCCATTCATCTACTGAGGGGCATCTGGGTTGGTTCCAGATCTTATTTACAGTAAATAATGCTGCAGTAAACATAGTCATGCTGGTAGCTTTCACTGTATTTGATGTCAGTATAATTTGTGGAGGGGAAGTGGAAAAACATATCGTTTAAATAGGGATACAGGTGGACCCATTGCAACAATGAGATGTACAAGTCATTATGTCGAAAACGAACTTTACAACTTTACAACTTTTGTGCGGGGGGGGGGGTAGGGGGGGCACGGAGAGGATGGGGTGGGGGGAGGATGGGAAGGAGAAACAAAGGAGGAGGCTACAATGCTTGATAAGAAATGTACTCATTATCTTGCCCATGTAATTGTAACCCCTCTGTACAGTATTTTCACAATAAAAAAATTAAACTTAATGCTTATTCCTAGAATCTCAATTATCATCTTAACTTATAAGTGGATTTCAGGTTAATAATAAAATCAGCAGTATACAAAGTCTTTCTTCCTTTGTTCAGTCATTGGATAAGTATCCCATCTTTATGCATTGAAAGGAAACTCAATGTTTTATAGCATTCATCATATTCTAAGTTTTATCTTTATGTATCTGATGACTATAGACTGAACATTTGGTATCTAGTTCAGTTTTAGCCACAAGGTATTATACTTAGTGAATGTGATCCTAAGGAAGTTTGAAGGTGTAGTTAACAAAACCTACCTGCAATTAGGAAGTAATGGGATTTATTTAGTACTCTGCCTCATAATACTCATGCGCACGCACACACGAGCACACACACACACACACACACACACACACACACGTGTACACTTTCTGGAACACAATATCTTGTGAATGTAATAGTCATGTCTTTTGAAATATTCTTAAGATTCATGAAACTCACAGTCCAAGCTGCTCTGTTCAGCTGTATTATATTAAAGGAAGGATTATTGTAGTCTAAGTTTGAGAACTAGTTCATCTTGTTACTGAAATTTTTTAAAGAGAAGAACACTTGGATTGTAAACAGTCAGTTTGTACAAGGGTATAAGTATGATTGATTTTCATAAATGGTGAATTTAAGATGGAATAGTTACTTCCAATTGGAATTTCCCTTTATTAATCCCAGTAAGGAAATCAAATTTCCCTTTTGCTGAACCCCAGAATACCTCTTTTTCTCCAGCATTTACTCAGCTTGAACCCATTTATCTTTGTGTGAATGCTTTATCCAGGCTTCAGGTACCATGCAGTGTAACATTAACAGTTTATAAGGTAATGAATATCCATAATGCAACAAGCTGAGCAATTGCTTCAGAGAAGCTGAGTTGTTAATCATTGCCCCATACATTTCTTTTACTCCCACTGTTAACTTTACATAACACTGAAACCAAATTATTCTGAAAGTATATGCAATTACTGAGAATATAAAACATGTGCAGACATGTGAACATGTGGGGCCAACCTGGGTAATATTTGTTACTGTGCTCAAGTGTCACAATTGATAGGACAGCTTCCAAAGCCAGAAAGGCCGGGATTAAGAATTTAGCTGTTATAGTCTCCTTATTGAGCATGGGCAATCTCCTAGAGAAAAAGAATAAAGCATCTCTGAGTCCTTTTGGAAGCATATGTCTGTGTGCCTATGCTCACGTGTGTGTGTGTGTGTGTGTGTGTGTGTGTGTAGTGTCTTGATGAAAGATTAGGAAATCAAAACTAAAAAAAAAAATATTGGATTGTGATCTGGTTAGTTTAGAATTCTAAAGTGAATATTTCTTCAAAAATGATCTCATAGAAAGCAGACATGGTGGTACATGCCTGTAGTCCCAGTTACTCAGAACGCTGAAGCAGGGGTTCCTGAGCACAAAAATTCAAGAACGCTTTGTGTTGCTTTAGGACTGGCAATCTCAGGCTCACTCAGGAACTTGTTAGGAACACCGAGTCTTGAGTAGACCCACACCTCAGGTCTACTCAGTCAGAAACTTGGGTTGGAGGAAGGTGGTGGAGGTGAGGGGTAGGAAGGAGCAAAAGTCTGAGCATTAATCCTTTGAAGTGTTTTCCAAAATTATTTGAAAATAGAATCTTCTTTGAAAATTTCATCCAGTATGTGGTAGGTCTAATATTCGGTATCTAGAAAATGCTATCAAGGACATTTGTGCACAACAATGAAGATGTATAAAAAATGAGATCTGAGAAGTATTTATTTACTGTTTTATTTAGATCATCCCCTTCTGTTTAAAATAACTAGAGGACAGTCAAAATAGAACACACAAAGGACTCTTCCTGGGTATTTATGTCAATTTTCTGATTTATGTCAATGTTGACTGAGCCATCACAATGTTGATTAGGTTTCCCCAGAACATATACTTCATGTACTAGCAAAGAAACTAGTTGGTAACCAAACCTGAAATTTCTTGCAGTGACATCTCTCTACTGCTAGAAATTAGACTTAATAGGGAGAGAGGTGTTTAGTGAGTGAGTCTATTGGTTGTTACAAAGATTCCTGAGGTCCAAGCTATACAGGTAGCCTAACCTCATGTAGATGTGCTTTACAGCTGCAGTAAGATGAGGATGGCTTCAGATGAAATCACATGGTAACTGGGTAGGGCTGGGTAAAGATCTCATAATGAATCTGGTCCAAACATCTTGGGACTAGGCAGCCTCTTATCTCGGCTAAAGCATGTTGCTTAGGCCACAGTAACTATTTGACACATACCCTGTAGAGCACTGATTATGGTTGGTATGTTCCACCAGTCTTGCAAAGTATGCATCACCAGCCAATGGCAACTTTGGGGATGTACAGGAAAAACATCAAGGCCAATCTATACATTTTCCTTTAGCTCTTAGAGGTGAAAAGGAGTTCAGAAAATTAATCATGTATTTTCTCTCACAAAGGACAAAAATGGTTGATGGAAGAAAGAATATCATACTGTGCGTGGTACAGCATTCAAAACAGTACAGCCTAGATTTCCATCTAATAATTTAGTCCCTGGACAGTAATGAGAATTCCTCAGTACCAACCCGGTGTTGTAAGTCTAACAACACTTTATAGCATGCTTACGTTAACATGAATGTCTAGACTGTAGGTTATTTGAAAGCAGTGACATTATCTACAAAAATCCAGCATGTAACCCCGATTTCTGATATATTTGACAATATGTACTCAATAAATACATGCTCGAGGATTTTTTTCTTTGAATGAATATAAAGAGTTTATTCGGTGCGTATTTGGGTATACAACAACAAATATTAAACAACTTTTTTTTTAAACTTTTTGTGCACAGGACAGAAAACTGCCTGTACATGCTATGTCCACTTTTGGGACACAGATTTTAACAATTATTAATGCACAAAATCTTACATATCATGCAACTCTATGCCAAGATTCCAACTTTCTTCCATGCAACAGATATGAAGATCTAAATGGAAACCTAGCTAAGTCTTAAACACTTTCCAATAGCAAGTATAATATATGTTGTTTAGGGGTTACCAGTCTTAGTATTTCCTTGTACACAATAATCACGTGCCAAATACAATGACAAGAGGGACTCATAGGTATACACATGAGACATTTCTTATTTTAACAACACAGAAGACATCACAGTTCCACAGTTCCTGCCTTTACACAAGAAGCCACAACAGTAGTTTAACATGATACACGAATGGAATTAAGAGAATTCTACACTTGAGGAGGATCTTTTCTTTTTAAGTTATCTTTACTGACTGGGGTTGACTATAAAACTCAATTTCTACGCACAAAGTACAGCACAGAACTTGACCAGAATACTACAAATCTAAAACAAAACAAAAAAAAGGTTAAATCACAAGAACCCTATTACCTTGGGCCTGAGATGCCAATTCAGATTCAACCCTGAATTTGGATGATTTGGATTAAGTGACATAGAGTCAATAGAACCATTGAACTTCAGAAACTGGAAAGATGAGCTATATGAAAGTAAAGAGTACACTGAATCAAGCAGAAATAGAAAACATGAAGCCAAGAAACACAGCTCACATAATTTTGTTTGCCTCTACAAACATTTAAGCAGAGAATTTTGTTTTGCTTTGTTTTTGTTTTTGTTTTAAGAATGACTGTGGTCTTTTAGATTTTCTTGGTTGGAGAATAGATTTTGATCAGCATTAGTGCTGTGAAATTTTTTGTTTTGTTTTGGTTTGGTTTGTCATCCCCAACATATAGATGAGATGATGAGAAAATTTGGCAGTCCTTCTCCCATATTTAGTTCATTGATAATGCATGGCATTCTTTTGCACAAGCTCACTCTAAATTTATGGGGCTTTAGTCTGGATGATAACAAGGTCTAAAGGCAGATAGAATAGTGAACTCTGCCTGTTTGTTTGGTAAACGTCACTGACAAATTTGAACTTTTTGGGTGAAGGACTGCTAGAAGAATTCAACAGCACCTGGAGGTAAGGTTCTGTTACAGAGCCCTTGTTTTGCCCTCACTGGCTACGTTGATTCGTTGTGGCTCATGGATTTGCCTCCATTCAGTACGCCGGAGACACTTCTGCTCTTGGTCGGGGTCCCACTTCCGGATCGGGAGAACTCCGTGAGATCGTGCAGTGACGGTTCCTTGTACATGGCCACTGAAAAACATATTAGGAGGGTATAAAAGGCCTTCAAATGGACAGATCTGTATATGCTATTTTTGAAAGTGGCTAACTTGGTTTGAAGCATGCTCACAACAAAATTAGTAGGTATAGGAGGCAATGTGTATAATAATGTGCTAAATTAGTCACTCCAGAGTACCAACTTATTTCCAAATATCTTGTAAGTGACATATATATGTGTATATATACATACAAACATATACATATATGCACATATCTACATATATAATTTTCATTTGTTAATAAAAATCAACAAAGAATATAAGAATAAAAGGAAATCATTATTAATGGACTGGTCCTAAATGTTCTTCTAGTTAACTAGGCTTTTATGCAATAAACCAAGCATGCAAAATGCAGTTTTCATGTATTTGATAGAGAATGGATGAGATCAGATTAAGGAAAACATAGTCTGGGTGGTAGTGTGTATTTTGAATGCCTTACTTCTATCACTTATAATTATATGTGGGAAGTTTAATGAAAATGAACTTAATAAAGTTCTTAGAAATTTAAGTGATCTACTATATACTGTGTTAACCCAATATTAAATTAAACCATTTTGAAAACACTGGTTTCTATCATAGTTTAAAATGAAATTCTATAAAAGGCTGTTTTAGTATAATTTTTCACACCACTAATGGTAATAATTATTATTGTTGGACTATAAATAATAATACTAGCTTATGCTTGTGAAACACACTACATACTACTCTCAATTCTCTACATGTACTATGTCAATTAACCCATATAAAAATGCTACTGTATAAAAAGTACTTATTCATATTTTATAGAAAAATTTGAGGCACAGTGGACATATAACCATTTCAATACCATTCAATGAAACAGAAAGCTCAGACCTGGACCTTGGTAGTGTAGAGCAAGAAAAGAAGCTGGAAAACTCATTATTATGTGCTGTGTCTTTCCCTACATTAAACCCAGGCTAGGTAATCTCTTTCAGGTTTTACTGTCTGTGTTTTCTGTCCTTTCTCTACCATGCCTCAATACTTCTAAAATCATTGTCATCTATAGACTATTCTTATTTTTCATATTTCTAACTTATTTTAACCTATTAACAATAACTGGGAAACAAAATACCTATGAATTCTTGAGACTATATTGTTGGGTCCTTAGAAAGGGTTGAAAAGACCTTCTTCCAATAAGTTAGGTACACAAATATTTTAACATCTGTGTTTCTCACAACTACCACTTTTCATCCTTTTCAATGTAATTTGAGGTTCTCAGCTATCCTGAGTTGGAATGTTGGGTGCTTGCATTTAAGTAAGGTAACACTAAACAGATATTCCACTGGAAAAAAACAAAATCATAATGACTAGATGCTATTGTCAATGCCATGATGTCTTCATGATTTTTTTAACATTATTGCCTTCATGATTTCGAAGGCTCTAAAATGTTTGTAAAATTCCAAGTGCCTTAATATAGAACTTAGTTCCACTTTCAACAGTACAGTAAAAACTTAATTTTTTTCATTGTTGGCATACAGAAAAGCCATTGATTTTTGAGGGTTAATTTTATACCCTGCTATGTTGCCAAAGTTTTGAATCAGCTTGAGTAATTCGGGAGTGGAGTCTGTGGGATTCTTTAAATACAGGATCATGTCATCTGCCAAGAGGGAGAGTTTTACTTCTTCTTTCCTTATTTGGATCCCCTTTATGTTTGCATCTTGTCTTATTGCTGTAGCTAGGCATTCTAATACTAGATTGAAGAGAAGTGGAGAGAGTGGACATCCTTGTGTCATTCCTGAGTTAAGAGGAAATGGCTTTAGTTTTTCACCATTAAGTATAATGCTGGCTGTAGGTTTATTGCATTGAAGAATGTTCCCTGAATTCCTAATTTTTCCAGAACCTTCATCATAAAGGGGTGTTGGATCTTGTCAAATGCTTTTCTGCATCTATTGAGATAACCATGTGGTCGGTATCATTTGTGGAGGGGAAGGAAAAAAAAAACAAATTGTTTAAATAGGGATACAGGTGGACCCATTGCAACAATGAGACGTATAAGTCGTTATGTCGAAAATGAACTTTACAACTTTGGTGGGGGGAGGGAGACTTGGGGGGGGGGTGGGAGGAGAATGGGAAGGGATGGGAAGAGGAAACAAAGGAGGAGGCTACAATGCTTGATAAGATATGTACTCATTACCTTGTCCATGTAATTGTAACCCCTCTGTATAGTATTTTCACAATAAAAAAAAGAAATGTACTCATTATCTTGCCCATGTAATTGTAACTCCTCTGTACGGAATTTTCACAATAAAAAAAAACTTAATTTAAATGACTACATTTGATACCGTAACCATAATCCCTACAGAATCAAATTTACCTTTCAGTGGTTTGGGCAGAAAATGGGCTGCAGGCTTGTTTTTCTTCACGTGGTTGCCTTTCATAATCTCTCCTTCTTTGTTCAGACCCAGGTACCACCCTCGGCCTGACTGCTGCTGACGGTATATCATGGATGAATATGTCACGTAATAATTTTCAAACACTGATTCTTTGAATTTGCACTCAGGTGTGAAATGCTCCTGCAACAGAAACAAACAAACAACCCTTGATGCTTATAATAATAAATTTCATGTAGAACAAATGCTTTTAAGGATTATAGGACATCTTTCATTGAAGTGTGTATGTGTATAAACTACAGTGCCCTGTTTTAGTAATATAACAAGTATTACTGGAACCTACCAGAGTATATAACACTTCATATGATGCTTTAGGCAAAAGTTCTACTGATCAATGATTGTCTCTCTTTGTGATAAGTAAAGGGAAGATTGGAACTAACCACGTCAGTATAATATGCTGGGAAAAAATACATGAACCGAGGACTGAAAAGACAAGCACAAGAGGTTATATGGAACTTTATTCACTTTAGACTTAATTCACTTTATTCAGAGAAAATAAACATTCAATCTTTGTACTTACTTTTCATAGATTCCCTAATTATTTATTATACATTATGGTTGTCAGATGCCTGAGGCTAAATCTAGTGTCATTGCTTTTACTTCTAAAAGGATGCTTCAAACAAAAACTGTCTTTAACTTTCAGGTAAACTAAATTGATTTTTTTTAGATCATTAGACCTTGACTTTCCAAGGAAAAGAAAAAAGTGCCCCCCTCTCTCTATCCTTACCTTACAGTCATATTTACAAGCAAATCAATATGAAAGGAAGGAATTTACAGTAATTCTACAACTGGACAAGAGACAGCAGCCCCAGGGACTTTGAACCCTGGAATGTGATTTTCTGTCATGTTTCCTTAGGACTGAGCCAATTCAAATGAAGGGCTCCAAACATGACAGAATGTTTTAAGGAAATCCTTACCACATTCTTTTTAGCTTCTGTGTGGTATGCACATATGCATGCGATAAGCAACGACTAAAACGGCCACTTATAAGCCAAGTGGAATGAACAGCAGATTTTAAATTATAACTAATCCATAGAATACCAATGTATCCATTTAGATTGAAAGAGAATGAGTAAAATAGTAACTGGACTACATTCAATAGTAATAATCCATCGTACTACTAGATTTTTGCTAATTTTACTGTGCTTTTATCAGCTATTGATAGAATCATCAAATCATTTGAAACCTTAAATTGCATGTTACTTTGGCCACCAGTCTTTTAAAAAGCAGTTTCTTCATTTTCATATTGGCTATCATTCTAAGCTGTACATACCAGCTGGGCCAAATGTTCTGAATGTTCAAAGTCACTTCAGCAAATAGGGACATATTCCTCAATTTTTCTCTAAAAGTTACACACTCAAATAATTTTCTTTCCCCTCTTCTTGGAAGCCATAAAGTGTTCCAGGTAGTATGACTGAGTTCTCCATTTGTTCTCTAAAGTACATAGGCTGTAGTATCTATAAGGGGTTATTTCAGGCTAGCTGTATCTTTGATAGATCTGCCTAGGAGTCATACAAATTTAACTTGCTTGGGGAGAAATACACGTCTAGTACAACAACTACCTGCAGTAGGAAGTTAAGAAGCTCTATTTGCGGACTATGAAAAACTGTTTTTATAGGAGTTCTCAACATAAGTATGCCTACAAACAAATTTGACTATATATATGGTGTTCAAGTTTCTTCTAATGATAAGGACAACTGCACAGAGATTAATTTTGTAACTGTCAGGAAACATTAGAAAATAAATCTGGTGAATAATAGGTAAGACCAAGGTGGGTGCTATTGTTGAGCTGTATAAACAATAATTCATCAATAAAAGATGTGAATTTTAAGGGTAGGTCTCCCAAAAGTGCCATATTTAGCATCTTTGTAATAGTAGCATTCATTTGTTCATTTCATACACAGTTGTAATGATGCATTATGAATTTGGGTGATGCTAAAAGCTGACAAATAAACAATACATTGCATCAGACACCTTAAAGTTTCATAGGACCTTTGCCTTCCTTTGAATGCTTCCAACCCAGGATCCAGGATCTTCACCCTCCATTGTCATTGCTACTAATCTTCTTTGTGCCCTCATAACTGGTTGATAGTATGTCTTAATTGTTGGAACAATTTTCTACTTAGTCTACTGGAAGATTTGCCTTCCTCAAACAAAAATACCTTCCTCGGGAACTTTTCATAATTTCACCTTGTCTAGTCTACAGTAAGAACAACAAATGACTTGATGTGGCATTAAAATCCTCCAGTATTCAATCACTATAATACCTTCCACTATTGCCAAAACCCTATGTGCCTTCTCAGATGTCATTCATTTCATTTGGTTACAATGTCATTCTGCTACTTCCTTCTCCATTGTTTTTGTCTCATTCCCTAAGACTGCTAGAATTGGTCATACCCATATCTGTGGTCTTAGAAACTATCTATCACTAGCAAGGCCTGTGATTAGCTTTGGATGGCCAAGAACTTGTCTGACTTATTTCCAAATCTCTTTTCCCTCTCAAAAATGATAGCTCATAATGCCTAGCTCATGGCAGACTACTCAATTACTGGATCACTGTATTGCTGATGGTAGAATTCTAATTTCAGAGATTCCTAGTCAAATATTGGAATTCAGACACAGACACTAGGAACCAGTTAAAAAATCTGAAGGAAATTTCCTTAATGCCACAGAATAAAATCAGCTGTATGTAGGAGGCTGTCATTGTATGGACAGATTCAGCATAGGGTGATTTAATATTTGTTAAGAATAACATAGCGCCTACAATGTTACGAGGAAAACTTGGCAATCGCTACAACTATTGGAAAATGACAAAAAAAAGGACTCAATGAACTGAAGGCTCTGTCACATCCTGGCAATTTCTTAGTCATCCGCACTAAATCTGGACTCAGAGCTCAGTAGAGAGAGAGAAAAATGAGGCCAAAAAAAAAAATGTTGAAACAACGAAAGGAGTGTTCTGTTCTCTGTGTGTGACACTGATTCTATTCAGTATTGGAATGAGTCAGCAGAAGGGGCTTGATTTTTACCAAATGTTATCAAATAAGAGCACGCTGCCCAATACAGGATGGGCCACCAAAAGGGGGTGGGGGTAGAGTTGCATATCCTTTTCTTATCAATGACTCATAGGATTTGGATGTGACCCAAGCTGGGGAAACCCTATCCGAAGGAGAGCAGGCAGACATATGTTAAGGAATAATCCAACTTTGATGGATTTGCAGATGCTTGCTCAAACTTACTAGTGCCTAAAAGAAGGTGCCATAATGGTCTTGGCATGAATGAAGACAGTAATCACTGTGCTACTAGTTTAAGCTCTAGGTAAATATCTGCTATAAAAATTTGTGAATGAGTTCAAAAGATGTAACATATTCTGCACACAATCACTAAGCTATTCCTTGGCATTACAAAATAAAAGGTGCCTTGTATCTTATGGTCTTCCATGCAACGATTTCTCTTCAAAGTTGCTTACCTCTCTTGCCTATCTATATTTTTTGAGAAACAGTGTCTTTTTAACTCATGGAATAATCAATCTGTCCCTAATATCTTTCTTCTGTGTAATCATCTCCCTTTAAGGCTCAAGGTTGGTATCTTCTCATTGAATATTGAACATTGTGTCTACAGAATCCATTCCAGCATATAATAGCGATTACATTGTCAGTAGGAAATAAGGACTCCCCATTTAAAGAACATATATATCCAGGAGTAGAACCTAACACTCCTTTTTGCCAATTTATTTCCACTATTAAGTCAGAAATAATTCTTTGGAGGTTGGAATATCATTGAAAAGAAGAAAGTACGTTGATACTCTAATACATCAATAGTGAAGCATCAGGGAATTCTTACACTCACAAATACTAATGGTCAGCTGTCGCTCTTAGGGCAGATTACATATTCACCTTGACTCTGAGAGGCCAATGAAGAAGACAAGAAAATCAGTTATGTTTGATGTATATGCAAACAACTACACAATCCAAGGTGTAGCAGAAACAAGTTCACCTCAGAACAAAGGACTTTAGTATAATCTGCTCTTCTATGTTATAATCTGCAGAAGGAACAGGGCTCACTGTTCCCCCACAGAAGACCAAGCATGGACAGTATTTTTGACCTGATGGAATTGGAGCCAGGAGCTCAAAAGAAGTGTATGCTATGATGGTGAATTTTCTGAAGAATGCCCAGCAAAGGCCATGCCACTGAATGAATACCTATACCCTCAGGAACGATTAGCAAAAGAAGGGAATGTAAATACATCTGTATCCCATGTAAATCATCTTACTATCTTAAACACATATGTATACCCAACCACATACCTTACTAAGTACTTACTGGTTAAACGTGAGAGCCCAAAAATCCAAACTGTGAGACCCTGAAAGGATTGGGAGTTTGGAATGCCTTCTTGTCATGTACTCTCAGAATGCTCAGAGTTTCCTGGAAAGGTCAATCAGTCTTGGCTTAATGGGAACTCACACTTCTATCCTTGGTGTCAGCTAACTGCACCCTAAACTGTGTGGGAGCCCAAAGATAGGTTTATGCAAATTCTAAGCTGTTTGCTGTTTTCTTCTCCTTCCCCTCTAATAAGAAGGTCTTCTACTATTTGCATACAAAATATTATCACGAGTTTGTACCTTGCTTCCTTGCACAAAACCAATAAAAACTTTGGCTAATGGAACCTTGGGATTTGTTGCTGGTGGAAGGCTATAGGTCCCCTGGTGCCCCAAACCTCAGTACCATGGCCCTGTCTCTGTTATTGCTTTGTTCCAGCTGGCAGAGGATTAAGGAGCAGGCAGCACGTTGCAACAGTTAAAATTACTAATATACAATGGAATTCTATGCCTCCATCAGAAAGTATGATACAGCCCCATTAGGAAATGGAAAGAATTGGAAAAAATTATATTAAGTGAAGTAAGCCAGGCCCAAAGAAACACAGGTCCCATGGTTTCCCTTATTGCAATAACTAGTATATCTCTAGGACAAGCAGAAAAGGTCAAAAGCTATGTACATAAGACCATATAAGATGATGCTAAGCAAAATGAACCCCAAGATAGGGACACAGGAAGTTTTATCTTTCTTGCGGTTGTTTTTAATGAATTTATAATGTACAGTGTGATATTTTTGTTTCTTTTGTAAGT